TTAATGTACCGTAATGACATGACTGCTTCGCCTGATGTGATGGCTACCCGCTACACATGGGTGTCGGAGAAGTAGTCGCGATGTCACGGCGCACGCAGAACAGTTGTTCTTCACACGTTCTGTCGTGGATAGTGGATTCGCGCGGCTTAGCAATGCCTCGAGTCACACTCACGATGGAAGTTTGCTGTGGAATCAGACAGTAAGCACGGCGAAAGACAGACGTACGTTTAAGTGCTGATTAGACACGTGACGTAACAGAAACGAAAGGGAGAGTTGAATGTCTGAGATGTAGAGGAGACGCAGGGGAGGAAAGACAGAGAGAAACATAAATGCGAGATGAAGATACGATTTATGAAGAAAAGGAAACATAAGAGAAGGAGATCATAAAAGATGAAAGGCGGGAAGAAATCAGAGATAAAGGATCTTTTAAAGAGGATATGAATAAGGCGAAAAGTCACAGGAAAGATGAAATACCAAAAGAGACACAGAGGGAAATGAGAAACAAAGAAAAGCGAATAAGAATTGAAATAAAATGCCAATAACAGTAGCAACGCGTTCTGAGCCACGTATGGCATCGAACACTGTGGTTCCGGGTTCGAGTCCCGCAAGACTAGGTGTTATCGTTTTTATGTTCTATCCCAGAAACGGCCGTGCGTGTGACCGAGGCCTTCTGCTTCTTATCTTATCCGGAATATTAATCGCTTGAGAGCAAATTCTTTCCTGCTCTGTGTCATTTCATTCGTCGCGATGAATTTCTTCGTGTTCACGAGAAGTCCAGTCGTCGATCCTATGGAGAAAATTCTGTGAAAGTTTAGTAAATTTTGATATTCATTTTTTTTAAAATAAAAGAGAGATAGAGAGGGAGATAAGACCAAAATGGACTGAATTATAGCAGCTCTTAAGTGATTTAACTCTGATACGTAGATATCGTACAGATCTAAGTCAGGCTGTTGGGATATTCTGCCGCAATGTAAACGTCAGATCCGCCGAGTATAAAACCTGGTAGCCACCGTTCAAAGACAAAGTGGGGCCGCTGCTTTGCATGAAATCAATCCGACTGATGGTCCCGCCACTGTGTTGGGCGTGTTGCCCACCTGTGAGGAGGGTCCGAACCGTGACGTTGTTCGGGAGAAATTTCCTGGAAACAGCCGCTCTTACTGATTAAGATCGTGCACCTTCTCCAGGAAGATAAACTGTACATAACCCTCTCCTCTCGGCGTAGAGTGAAATCAGAACCACGGAAGCAAGATAAACTGTACATAACCCTCTCCTCTCGAGTGAAATCAGAACGGCGGAAGCGAAAATCCGGCAGCCTCTCTGTGTGCACAACGCCCCCTCGGCCTCTCACGGAAATGACGGAATTGATTCTCATTGTGCTCTGATGTTTCCACGAGCAGAACACCTTTCAGTCTAACGTTAGTAAACGAGACTTGATTACGGGCCTATATTCATTTTAATTGATTTCGTCTGAAGATCGACAGGAATTTTAAATCGATACTTATCGATTTAAAATTATAATTGTACAACTTTTTTGGTAACTACATATACCCTCTGCTTTAACAATCCTTAACGCTGTGTTCATCAGAGATTTGTAGAGATTGAATACTTACATCTTACGACTTATGCCATCTACGTCAATCGATGGAACAGAAAGTTCGATTTGTATCGATATCTTAAGTCGAAAGATAGCGAGCGAACACATCGCCTTCCGTCACGCATTACTTCGCCACGTCGATTGGATACAAAATTAAAACTGCCCTTCAACTTAAGTATAAATTTAAGTCAGGGTATTCAATTCAGCGTGTGGATGCGACTTCTACCCTGAGGATGTAGGCACCGTGTTTCTCTGAAACGTTAATAGTCATTTGGAAGTCTGCATGGTGTTATAACCGGAAAGGCCGAATTTCTAATGTCGACTTGGAGTATCATATTTAATCGAAATTCTTTGAGAGGTTTCAGAGATAAAACTACAGACACTGTCCTTTGAAATTATGTGTAAATTTCATACGTTTCTTGGAAAAAAGGATTTAGGTCCGTATAAAATTTCCCGTCAATTCTAGAAGCTAGAAATTGATACGCGTTCTGAGAGGCAAATGTATTAAATGAAACCTGAGTCATTTTACTTTGAAATCAGAATATTTTATTAGCTTCCTTCGCCTCGCATTTATTACCTGAGGAGTACGGACAGGTGATGCCTTACCAGGTTTGCTGCAAAAGCGACGTAAAGATATTATGGATGATGAAACGTAAATAGAGCGATCATATCCTACATAATTCTTTAAAGCCCAGTGGTAACTATATGTACCACCTACTATAACAATCAGTATCTGTGTATTTTACTCACATATGGTATTCATACGGATATCAGAATAAACTAAAAAATTCCCGTTGAAATGTAACGAGAAATCGTAATAAAATTATATTTTATCCCATGAAAAAAAATTCTTCGTATCATAAAACTTGTATTTAACATTTTTTACGACGCGCCACGTTCTTTGGACACCCCGCGTCTATTTTCAGAATAGACAAGAAATCAACTCGTTTCCCGGGATATTCTGCCAAAGAAGAACTTTTGGTGCCTTGTCCTTACGTCAATGAATAAACAGAAAACCATGTACAACTTCGAGTAGCTAACCTACTTTTCGAGGTTTGAACCGGGGAAATTGTTAGGAAACTGGGGAATCTGAAGGACAAATCTTTCTGTACGGTACAAACATTTTATTTGAAGTGAACCCTTATCTTTGGTAACTCGATTCTTCCTTGTTTTAAAGATATATAGAGCGTAGTCTGTCGTTTCTGGTGAATATTAAATGCGAATACTCCATATTACTTTTTTTCTGAAGTATGTTTAGTTTAAAAATAATCGCTTCTGCTGAAAGGAAGAACGTTCAAAAGCGTGTCACATTCCCATTACAAACACATGTCTATTAATAGTGTGTCAGAAACTTTTTTTTGTGTGTGTGGGCCTAGAATTTTATGGGGAAAGTGTTAAAGCCACCTCTGTTCTATACCAATGACGAATTGTTCCTATACCGATTAAATAAAAATGTTCTTAATATGTCTGAGGAAAATCACCAGACAATTATATAAACGTATGACATCAGATTTCGAAATTCACTGTCACTTTTCCCACGCAACAGAAGCGAACCCACGTGGAAGATACATGTCTATCCCTCCGCGTGTTATAATCTCTAAAACGACTTGACGGATTTCAATTAAATTCGGTACAGTAAATTACTTAAAGGCCACTGCAGGCATCAGAGTCCTTCAGAATGTAATAATCTGTCATCTGATCACGAATTGCCTGAATTTTATGGAAGTAGAAGAGTGAATTCATTTCAAAAGACACAACTGGATGGCATTTAATAAAAGTGAACACTTGTTTTATTGGAACCGTTCCAGCAACTGGTAATATGCCCCCCCCCAAATCATGCATTTCGCGCCATTATTTAACCTTTTTTGTCTCTCATTAATCGTGACAAAACGATTGACAATTTTCTGCTCCGGAGGTTGCAACCAGCGACAATTTATGATCAAACAAGTCGTAAATCACGGCCACATTTCGAGTGCTGAATGAGACCTTAACATTTGTAATTGCTGACGTAAATTATACAGTAATTTATTTCTACATCTCGCTTTGAGTTTTAATACGCTTGAGAGTGACGCCTGGCAGTGCTGCAACCTGGATATATTGTCTGTACGACAAGTTGACATTCTAATAGGGGTCGAGTGAGAGGGGGACTAACTGATGTCGCACGGGTTCGATTACATCGCAGATCACGTGTCTTCGTTGTTTCAATGGCGAAGACTGTCTTTTTTTTTTAATCATTATCAGCAAGTTTCAAATTTTAAATCATTAAATCACAGCTTCAAGGGTTAACCACGAGCAGTTGCTGAAGCCGCGATCAAACATTCGGAGTTTCCACCTCATCTCATTATTTTTACATTTCTTACGTCTTTTGTTCTTTCGTGTTTCTTCGTAATATTTTCTTGTTCGAGAAAACCGGAACACAGGCAAGTTCATAGTCCTCACTCGTCGCCAGACACATCCAGGGCGATCAAATGGATATGACACGTAGTAAACACGAGAGCGATAAGAAATATAAACATAATTTTGGCCAAATCTTGAAGAAGTAACTACAGACGTT